TTGGGGGAGGGGAGTGTTTTTATTGTTGGTGTTTTTTTTAATAACAGAAATGATTCCATTGTTCTTTTAAGCCCGGGATAGGACAGAAAATTTGCAATCAAAGTTGCACTTCAAGCAGTTAAGCTTATAACTCACAAAAACTGTCTCACTGTCCTGTTTTTACTACAAACAGTACTGGAGTGTGTTGCAAATTCTGCTACAGAGATAATTCTGTGTTAGTGTCACCTTGGCTGACCTGTTTAGTGTGGTGTCAGTCTCCTATATTTGACTGTTTAGGATTCATGCGCTGCCTTGGAGAAGAGTCGTAGTCCCCACATAAAGCAGGATGGACAGGGGTGTGTGGAGCACACAGGAAGCACACTAGCAACTTCGAGCTTAGCAGTGACAGATGCTTTTAGTAAAACCGGTGACAGCAGCATAACCTATTGTGGGGGAAAGACCAAGAGCTGAGGGTGCATCTTAGGAAGTGAGAGATGTGAGTTAATTTTCCTCAACAGCTTATAGGATTGTGAAGACACTATTCCCAGGGTCTAGGAGCATTTCCTACCAGAAGGATGAGTCCAGGCTTTAACTCCCTGCCTTTCCCGCTGAAATTGGACCACTGTGCAGTCAAGCCTGTAAGATTAATGAGTCAAGAAAGAAAGTAAGTGAAAATGAGCATGGCTCAGTAGCTTAATGAAAAGGTAAGGGAAGAAAATCCGAGTCTTGGATCTGAACTTCATGCTATTTAAAAGTACTGCAAAGTTTAGTGAAGAAAGCCTAAAATCTTGATTAAATAAGTGAAACTGTCTCTTGAGAGTTTCAAATCTTGATTTAGAAATTTATTATAAGATTTTTTTTTGTCTGACTAATCATTGGACATCATTGTGGGTTCTGTCTGGAAAGACACTAGCTATAACAGGAAAAACTGTTGCATTGATATCCTGCTAGTTCTGTATCCAGTTTGTTCTTTTCACGGAGTACTTTTTCTATGCCATGAACCTAGCAAATTTGCCTTTGATCTCATGGTTAAGCTAGAGTTTTCATGCTCCCACTTCAGCAGTACTAACCTTCATCTACTTGAGTTGTATTACAAAGGTCTGCAATACAGTATTTACAGCTCCCTGCAGTTAACTCTGAGTTCCTTTTGTGTGAACATGCGGAAGCCATCATTTGACAGATTGCAGGATGACTTTTCTCACATGGAGATGTTCTGGTGAAGAAGAAAAAGAATACCAGTCAAATAGACACTAATTTATAGTAAAAGACTGAGAAATTAAGACAAAAAAGCCAAAACTAAGCAAGGTCCACCGTGGCAAGCAGTCATGATGCTGTGGAAGATTTTGTCCCTGTGCCAGCCCCCTGTATGCCTTTCAGATAGTGGAGAGGGCTGGGAAAGTCCATGTCTCCCTTTGTCCTCACTGAACAGAAGTCACTAAGGGGAATGGTGGGTGTCACCTCCCACCTGGAGGCTGTGCTGGGGTCTGGTACACTGAAAAAGCTTGCGCCTTTTTCTACTGTGTGTGTTGAGAGATCCTGGCAGAGTGTGGTTTCCCAAAGCAAAAGGTTTGACATAATTCAAGGTATTCAGATATTTAATTATGCAGAGAAATGCCTAATCAATTTTCAAAAGCATCTAGTGGGAGCAAAGCACTTTTGAAAAACTCTGTGGTTATTTGTTTGCCCTTTTAGGCATGTAATTTCATTGGGAAATCTGTTGCAAAATCACTACTGCTTTCCTGCTGCAGGATCAATCCATAGTGACCCCTGATTCTGTGCTTTGATTTAAAAGCCATAGACAACCTTAGACTGGTGTAACACAGTTTTTTGCAATAAGCCTGATCATGTAAATAACAAATTATTTGTGTGTTCAAGTATTGCTCTCCAAAGGAATGGTCACATCTTAATTTTGGATTGCTATGAAAAAGGTTTTGCATCTCCCTGAAACATGAACTATAAGAAGAAAGTGTTAACACCTTCTAAATGTTAAACCAGTAAAGAGTGGTATAGTTGATATTCTGAACGCAATGCTATTAAGGCCAGCTTGTTCTTTTAATTAACTTGTACGTAAGTGAATCAAGGGAAACATTTTCTATTACTTAAGACACAGTATTGAAAAAATGCCTAGTAACTTAGAATGAGACCAGAAGGCCATGAAGGTCATCTAGTTTGACCTGCTACATGTCAGAAGCAAACAATTGAAAGCATTATTCCTTTTTCTTGTGTTTTCTGAAAGTTTGAAATCATTGATAAATAACATACCTTTTTTTCTGAATGTTTCCTTTTGTACATTTTAATCTTTCAAGAGCCTTTTTTTTAATCTTTCAAGAGACTTTTTTTGTGTTTATAAAATTTGCGTGCTTTTTTGTACCTGTTTGCCTATTGTATTTGTTGTCTGTGTGGATTCTATAACAGATTTATAAAATTACACAAACTTTCTCCATGCCTTTGTTTATTCAGTGTGTGTTGAAAATGGGAGGGATGTAAACTGAAGGTGAAATGTGCTGCCTTCCTTCTTCATGATCCCATGGTGGCCACTGGATCCACTGGGATGGTTTCTTGCAATAGCACCGATGTGTGTGGGTGTGATCAGTGGTGAACCCTGCTGAGGCTCAGTTCCTGCATGCCTTATGAATGAATTAAGGGCTAATTTGAGGAAGTTTTTTTGTGGCAATATGACTGGATTACTTCTACACTTCCCTCTTCCTGTCTTTTTTTCTTTCTTTCTCAAACAGGCATTACAACAGTGCTGACCATGACAACGTTGAGTACAATTGCTAGGAAGTCACTCCCAAAGGTTTCCTATGTGACAGCAATGGACCTTTTTGTTTCAGTTTGCTTCATTTTTGTGTTTGCTGCCTTGATGGAATATGGCACCTTGCATTACTTTACCAGCAACAGAAAAGGGGACAAAGGAAAAGAAAAGAAGGCAAAATCTAAGCCATCAGTAAGTTTAGCCAAACAAGAAGAAAAAAAAAAAATACAGAATGGTCTTTATTGTAGCATTAATTTTGAGAGACTAGTTCTTAAGTAGAAGGTCTAATGTTCAAAGATAATTAACACTGATATTTATTTTATAATTTTTTTATAGCTGGGGACTTGTACTAATTTTCTGTAAATGAACAAAGGTTTTAGATCATTCCACTCATATGTGAATGAGAACACATGAGCCTAAGCTAGAAGGTGGTTGAATATAATATTCCATGCTACCATACCATGCCCATGCCTGTGGTGCTTCTACTGCTGCCTGTGTAGTTCTGCCCATGGAGACAGTTCTGTCTGGGCACAGTGCTTCTGAAAACAGCACCTGGCAAAGACCCATAGATAAGACTGTAGCAGTAGAGATAATGTAAATGGACTGAAGGTATGAGCATTTGTGTGGGTCTGCATCACCTAACTTGTGTCTTACCTTGCTCATTTTGCAAAGGAAAAAGTGCTTATTATTGGTCAGTATTCTGACTCCCTTCCACTTCAGAAATTCTACTTTAACTCTTATTTTTTAGTTTACTTCCATGTTTATTTCTGGTAAAATGAACCTTCTGCTTTTACAAGTTGATGTTTTTATGGTTTGAATCCCCACATATCCCAAGAACAAGTATTATTCAATTTTAAGAAGCTTTCTGTTCATGTAGTAAGAATACTCGATCTTCCAGAGAATCTGTTGTTGGAAGCCCGTACAAATATTTAAGGCTAATCTTTAAACTAATAAAACATTGAGGTAAAGGCGTTACATAGCTTATTCATTGGAACACTAGTCTTAATATCTGAGGCTTGATTGTAATGGTCTTTTGGAGAGATTAGGAGGAAGGACAATGTTTAAAGCCCCCTTCTAGATCATTTCATGAAAGGAAGCTGGAGCATAGCTGAATCATAGCATCAGTTGTCTTTTCTGGGTGAAGGGTGAATACCACCCGTGTAAGATCAAACAGAAGTGAAATTACAGAAGCCCAGATATGGAAATGCAGAAATCCTGTTATGAACCGTATCCATTCTGCGACTAGTGTCAGAAAGTGCTGGCGCACGCATCTTGAGCAGCGCTGCTGTGGGAGACTGTCTTATTGGGGCCATGCGCTGCTGGGTTAATGCCAGGGGAATGAGAGCCTTTACATTTCATATGGTGAGCTGGTCTGAGTGGATCAGCCGTGTATTTAGGACAAGACTAGTGGTGAAGGATTAATACTGCCCTGTGCTGCCTTGGTCGGACATCTCTGTGATCCTCAGGGAATCCAGCACAGCTGAGAGAACTGGAAAAAGGAAACCTCAAACCTCCTGGTGCAAAAAACCAAATGTGGGCACAATGGAAGGGATGGAAAACAGGCTTTGGCAAGGGCCACAGCTGAGCAATGAGGGTAAAAGGTAACAGAGGCTGCAGAATTTGGGGGTATTCCCAGCGTTAGCATAGCAGATTCAGTTTTAGGTTGTTGTTGAAACGAGGTCTTAACAACAGTTAGGGAACAGGGAGCTGAAATAGGTCTGCTCTCAGCATGCACAACAAGGAAAAAAGGAAGAGGGGAGGAAATACTGCTTTTTCAAACCAGGAAGATATTAAAGGTCAGCTGCTGGCAGATCAAAAGCCATTGAAGTGGTTTGCAAGTATACTCTATTGAATGGAGTAACGAGACTTTCCAGAATCCGTTCACACATCAGACATTCGTGCCCAATGCTTTGAGATTTTCAGTGCATATGACAATTTAAAATGTAGAATGATGGTGACAGACAAATGATGACACTTATTGAGTAAATAGCTGGAGTTTGGACTAAGATTAAAATTAACAATATAATACTCAAAACACTGTTCAGTTGTGTTTTACTGTGTTCTTAAAGCATGGTTTTTATTTCTAAGTAGTTGAAAAACAACCATCTTTTCACACAGAAGTCTTTAAACATGTTATGGCACGTTATAGCTATAAAATCATAATAGATAAGGGATTACTCTAAAAAAAGGGGGGCATTAAATTTAATATACTTAGATGCAAGGATTCTGATTTGATAAATAGGATTTTTTGGTGATGTTTCATAAAAAGCTATAAAATTTCTTGTTCCAAATAGAACAATTAAAGAAGCCATCCAATTAATTAATGGGAAGTTGTACAATTACAAATCCTGGGTTTTTTTTATTTTTTCTTTCTTTTTTTCCCTTTATCTTTGTCAAAGACTTCATTCTTTTTGTCTTGTAGTTATGGGTATGTAACTCAAAAAACCAATTTAATTAAAATAGTCAGTTTAATTCCTTCTGAAAAGTTCTGTTTTACAGGTGTTTTTTCCTTGGAAAACTTGCCTTGCATAGGTCTTCTATTTCTATTGCAAAATGCAATAAAAGCTTATTATTCCAGGAACTGATGCCAAGAAGGTGCAATAAATGATATTGTGAAAAAATGGTGAGATTTTACAAATGATTACAGCAGCTTTCTCTCACAAAATATGTGCTGGCATCATTCAAGAAAGGTAGTGTGAATTGGCTTATATAAATCCACATTAGTAAGGATAACGAGTTTGGGCAGGAAAGATTAAACTTAGTTGTGGATCTTGTTCTGATCATCGTTTCACTTGAAGTGAATGCATCACCTGTGCTATGATCTCCACAGATGATGGCTTTCTTTTGTACATGTATTAGTGTTAATGCAGCATAATTTGGTTTTGGTCCTATCAGAGTATATTATAAATGCTTCTCGCTATATGTGGAGTTTTATCTACAACATCAGTAGGCATGTGTACGAACAACTAGAATGTAGTACTGTATCTATATGTAATTTTTTTTTTTTTTAAGTCTCTGCCAATTGATATAAGTTATTTTCTTGTGAGGTGTTGGTCTTTTTTCCCCCCTTTCCCTCATGTTGTCTCTTTCTTACACACATTTTATGTATCCTCTGTAGGTAGTTAGGACTACAAGATGGCACTATCTGCCTCTCTCAGGCAACCTCTTCAAACCTGTAATTTAGTGGCCAGCTTCAGTCTGTGCTGGTGATGTGAGAAAGGCAGTACTGTTATTTTTTCCTCCTCCCATGGTGTTTCTGAGTTGGGGATTCCTGTTCTGCCCCATTAGTAGAAACAAATCATGCCATGAATCTTACATTGGTGGAACCAAGAGTCAGAAAATTCTTGTAAAGCCCGACTAGGTGTGAATCAGAAATAA